ATCTCTTTTCCCTAGGGGGACCTGGCTTTCAATCTGCCTTCTCTTTCCTGTCCCCCACTGGACAGCCATGGGTTGGGAGCAGCGTTGCACTTGCTTCATTTTAGCATGTCACCTTTTTTATTTTTTAACTCCGTACTTAGCTGCCTGATCCTCATTGCTATGGATAAGTTGGAAGCTCTTCTTTGCTTTTTGTTGGTTTTTGTTTTTATGAGACAGGGTTTCTCTATATAGCCCTGGCTGTCCTGGAACTCACTCTGTAGACCAGGCTGGCCTCGAACTCAGAAATCTGCCTCCCTCTGCCTTCCAAGTGCTGGGATTAAAGGCGTGCACCACCACTGCCCGGCTCTTCTTTGCTTTTTTGAATTCTCCTTTTCCTATTGTCCTTCCCACAGTCACTTGGACCATGAAGCTTTCAGTATGCCATTTTACCTGGCTCCAATTTTACCTCTACTTGAATTTAAGACTTGTTTTATGATGGTCTCAATAGTTGTCTTGGATCTATACCTTCACATACATTCACGATAACTTTCTTTCCTTTCTGGATGGAGGGCTCTCTTGACATCTTTGTCAGGCTTCTTGCTCATCATGAGTTCCCTCGTTTGTCTCAAATTCTAAGGTCATTGCTTCTTCCTGAATTCTCAAAGAGTTACCTCATTATAGTAATCATGGTTGAAAGTCCTTTCAGGACCTGACATGTATCATAGCATTCCAACCTGGATAACAGAGATTCCCTGATAAATTTGCAGTTAATCTAATGTGAGAAACATTCAATGTGATAGCACTTTTACCTTGTATATTTTTATTTTCTTTCTTTGGCTTGTGCTTTAGTTATTTGAGTATAAGATTCTTTTCTGTCCATTTCTGTTTGGAGGACCCTAAATCTCCAATGAACATATGTCTATGGCTTTCCCAAGCTTATGAAATTCCTAGAGTTTTATTTGAATAGGTTTTTACATGCCCCTCAATGTTTCTTGCCTTTAGGTATTAAAAAAAACTTTCAGGTTTTTCATTTATGGTTCCACAAATATCTTAAATTAAATCTTCTTCCCTCTCTTGTGTCTGGTTGGCATATTTCATATAGCCTGTCTTCAAATCTTCAAATCCTGATATGTTGATCTAGTCTATTATTTCTCTCTCTCTCTCTCTCTCTCTCTCTCTCTCTCTCTCTCTCTCTCT